CTTAAATGTTTGAGGTGTTTATCATCTTGGGCAAATGGTGGGATTTTCTTTGCTGGAGGTATCTAGTAGCAAATGGAATCATAGAATCATGGAGTTGGAAGGGAGCTACTAGGTCATGAGGTCCAACCCCCTGCAACAGATGGCCATCCATGAAGGATGCCATAATTACTTCCTATCTTACAGATCAAATGCTTGAGCAGAGATTTGGATTTCTCTTCTTCTTGTAGGATTCTGAAGCCTAAACTAGAATTATTTTCCAAGTGGCCTCTGGTCTTTGCTTTGTACTTTTAAGGTAGGCATTGAAAGGAAAGCAACTTTTTAATTTGATCTGCTCTCCTATCATTTTTATAGTCTTTTTAAATGATTTCTATTTGCCTTTGAGTTTAGTTATATGCTGAATGAGACAACTCAAAGCAATTTGCTATATGACCTGGAAGGTTGTTACAAACAGGTCTAGTTAGCTTGTCATCATAGGCACTTATCATAGTTGCTAGCACTTGGTGTAGCCAAGGACTGTCCTTAATAGTTATTATCCTCTGCTGTTGGGGGTGGGTGGGTGAAGAGACCCAATTGCTGTATTTTTTTCTCTTCTGCACAGCAATAGATAGACTAACTTTCTGAATGAATGCTTTGAGAAAAGAGTACTATTGCAACCTTCCCAAATAGGACTGGAGGACTAAGATCTAGTCTGAATTTTGTCCTTTGGTCTTAATAACCAGGTTGGTTTTAGGTCAGATTTGGGGAGGTAATTATGCTTCTCAGAGAGAAGGTTGCCCCTCTATTGTCCTGAAATAAATTTATCAAATCTAAACCCAATGATGTTTGTGCTAACCCTCATGTCAACTAGCCTTTTTGAGGAGTTAAGTAATGGAAAAGGTGATTATTATGTGGTATTGGAGGATTACTGTTTATTTGAATAGTTCAATCCAGAATCTATTCTGGTTTTGAGATAATGAAGGAAGATTCAACCTTTGTTAGCATTTACAGATCTCTCATCAGCCTTCAGTAGGTGAGTGTCAGTTTTGGTGTTCTTCTAGATCTGGTTTAGACTGAGACACTTTATCGGTTGTTCTTTCTTTTGTAGCACATCACTGTCAGCAAGTGAGGCTGGTGCCTCAAGGTTAGATCTTGTCCCACCTATGTTATTTCCTATTAACATGGAAGCGTTGGATGCAGTCATCCAGAAGTTTGAGCAATAGTGTCAACAACATGCAAACAATACATAGGTCTACCTCCCATTCTCATCTACAAGTCTAACAGAGTGTGTGAAAAGCCCAAACAAATATCTGAACTCTGTTTTTGGGATAAGTAAAGGCACACACATTGAAACGTACGCTAGACATGACAATCTAATACTGGCTGAGATGGAACCACTCTAAAGGTTTAGTTTTTCCTCTGAAAATTCTCCATTTATGGAACTACAGAGGACATCAGCAATGGAATGTCTTCTACTAGAATGCGCTGATGGAATTCTGACCTGAAAGCTTACCCACATTTTACTTCTATACCAGTTAAGCCTTCTATAGTGTCTTCTATACAAAGGCCTCCACAGATGGACTGTAAACTTCAGTTTGTGCAGAATATGGTTGCTTGGATATTGATGATGGTGGGGGAAATGGAGCATGTGATACAGCCCTTATAGAAAGCTTTCCCAACCCTTCAAACAACATATGCTGGCTGGGCATGATTGGAGTTGTAGACCAACACAGCTGAAGGCACTGAGTTAGGATGGTTGAACTCAACCCAACTATCTTCTGCTTCAGAAGAAGCCCTGTCTGTAAGGCAACAGTATTTCTTTTTGACAAGCATAATCGTGTCCTTTTAGTGATGATCCCATCACCTGTAGGCTCCCTTCCCACTTGCCTTTTTTTAAAACTGATTTTGAAAAACATCAACTGCCTTCACACTACTAGTTTCCAAACTAATGACACCACTTTAGCATTGTTTTAAGATACCACTGTTGTTACAGGGCCTAGGTTTTATAATGGAATTCTATGCTGCTATATTGTTTTATCGAGTTTGGTTTTATTATATCTTATTTTTGTATTTATTATTGTGAGTTGATAAGAACAATGCCTTAGGAAGCAGCTTATAAATCAAAATAAATTATTAGAAAGGGGGAAGAAAACAGCTTAGCTTTAAATACTTTAGAACAATCAAAATGTTGTCAAATTGAAAACTTTATGAATTCACATTTTTTTGCTTTTATTCTAGTAGCCATGGACCGTTTTATTTAAAGACATGCCTCGCAAGCTTTCACACGCCATACACCCCATTCCTCATTCCTATGTTGTCTTTGGTTTATGTCAGAAGGAAGGAAGGAAGGAAGGAAGGAAGGAAGGAAGGAAGGAAGGAAGGAAGGAAGGAAGGAAGGAAGGAAATGGGTGAGAGAGAAAAAGAGAAAGGAAATGACACACTGTACTAATTTTAGCAGCAGGATATAAACAACATATTTTTCAATACAATTCTGTAAAATAATGTAGTACAATGCAAACTTTAATGTCAATATATACAGAGTCTGAAATAAAAACTTAAGGAAAAAAAATAAATTCTGAATGGAATAAATACAATATGGTACAAATCCACAGTCTGTCTGAGAAATGAGAGTTACAATATTGACAACAGGGTGGTAGATGAGAATGTTTTGTGTGATTTGAAATCTTTAGGAAGTATTGCACCCGCAAATACCATGTAATGAAAACTTGAACAATTGGATAGCCTGTAATGCTTCTATGGTTCTGCAGTTGAAGACCAGTCACAGGTCAGAAGAGTTTTATAAACTAGTTAATAGCCAGGTTCAGATACAACATATTTCAACATACAAACCCATGGGAAAACTTGTGCTAGCACACACTATTCCTCCCCTGCTTGCATGCGACCGTTGAAAACTTCCTGACCATGGCTTCCCCTTACATCCAAAGAAGGTGTAAGATTGGAAGAAACCACAGTCTGAAAGCAATTTCAAAGGGTGGTTTTAGATGCTGGCCTACTCCAGTTTGTTATTTATCAAGCCTTGGTTCTAATGGCAAATTCTGGCCAGTTCATCTAGTCTTCATGTGAAGCCATGGCAAGAAAAAGGAAGGGATAGCATAGCATGGTGAAACCAAAAGGTCACTGCAGCCTGGCTTTTTAAACTGAAATAGTTTCTGTCCCAATCAGCCTATTCAGCGCAAGAATGCAAAGTAGTTGGGAAGCTGGAAGTATGCATATTGACGTGGCCCCCATCAACAGTCTCAGACCACAATATCAAAATTTCCATACAGAAAGAAGATATAGCTTTCACTCATTTCTTCAACTCACCCAAAACATTTTTAAAGTCAACATTTTGAAAAGATTATACTAGAACAAGATATTTTTCAAAAGTTCCCATGAACGGACCTGCCTATTTGGAACTTAAAATGGTACTGACTGACGCTGAAAAAGATAGTATTCCATCTAAATCGAATTTTATTAATCACCAGCAGTTTCGGCTAATCAGTACCTTTTTTTTAATCTTAACATCAGCTAACATAAAGAACTAGCTAGCTGAATTATAACTTGTAACCTCTCACAATATCAAAGTCTGGAGAACACCTGTGATCTGAGGGCTTCTTAACCACTGCCATTCATTTCGATTGTCTTGGGGTAGAAGTGATTTTTGTAGAAAATCATAGCTGAGCAAACCTCTATATTGAGGATACTTCCATTCATATCCAAACCACAAAAAGAACCTACAGCCCAGTAAAGACTGCATACAGGTCTGTAAAGGTACATCTATCACTTTCCAAGGATGGAATTTTTCTAAGTATGGACAAAATTGGACTGTCTGTATAATGAGGGAGAAATTCCTGTATAGGTAGTCCCCGGTAGTCCCCGGTTTAAGAACGAGTTCCGTTCCCAAGGTATGTCCTTAAGTCAAATTTGTATGTAAGTCAGAACAGTATTATTGTATAATACTGTATAAGTAGTATTGTGCATAGAACTTGAACCATTGTGTGTTTAACTCCAGTCATTGTGTTTTTAACTCAAATTTTGCTACAATAGGCTCTGTTCTTAACTGTGAATCGTCTGTAACCCGGGCGTTCTTAACCTGGGGACTACCTGTATTAAATAATTAACCTTAGGAGCATTTTTTTTTAAAGGAGGCACTTATAAGGGGGCTATTTATTTCTTAGATTACATACTTCATTTGAAGATACACACAAAGATCTGCTTTAGAAAAAGGCATTCAACAAGTGCTATAAAGAGAAAAACTAAAAGGTTTTGCCCATTTTGGTTTATTCCATCCGTTTCAAAGTCATTGGTGTTCATTTCCCTTCATGTGATGCATCCTGAGGGGGTACCTCTTCCCTGTCTTCAAAACTGCTTTCATTTGGCAGATTAAAGAAATAAACCAGACATCTCTGTAACACCAAGTTCACTCTTGATGATCACATATTCAGCTATGCCTGAAGAGATTCCACTTTGCAAGCAAAGTGATTGCTTAGAGCAGTGTTGTCCAAACTTGGCCACTTTAAGATGAGTGGACTTCAACTCCCAG